GAAGCCGTCAAAGGTCGCATCGGTGAATTTATTCACCGGTAATTTGATTGGAAACAAAATTGAGAACAGTATTATTCAATATGCCCGAGAAAAAGACTATAGAACTATCGTATAGCAGAATGACGATATATGTATATATTCTTTTCTGTACTATACTTGACTGGATGTTTTTTTCTTTCTATGCACACTATAGAGAGAGATATAAAGCAAGAAATGGAGAAAAGAACAAATTTTATCGTTTGACCAAAAAGAAAGATTCCCTTTACGACGAAATTAGTGTTTATTCTGACAACTTCCCGAAATAAAAAGTTAATTAAAAGTTAAGTTTACAAACAAGGTACCGTTTATTTTTTGAGTTATAAGGCCGCCCTTATCACAGCTGAATGTGTGAAAAAGTAGGTGTCTACATCAATATAAAGCCAAATGAGTTTTCAGAGATAAAACAGAAATACAAATAGTTAAAAGGCTGCTATTACCCATAGTCAGTATCTTCTTGAAACAGAGCTATTGATTCAATGAATAAGAGTGCCAAATGATGAACAATAACTACTCATCCATTACCGTTATACTCTTAATTGTATAACGAAACATTCATGTCGATAAAATGCTCGCACTAGTTCAGTTAGATGAAACTTTGATGTTTTCTTTTTATGCATACTATAGAGACACAGATATAAAGCAAAAAATGGAGAAAAGAACAAATTTTATCGTTTTACCCAAAAGAAAGGTTCTCTTCACTATGAGATTAGTGTTTATTCTAGCAACTTAGATTAAAACGTTTATCACTACTACTATAAATGATTACGGGACTATGTAGTCGACACATTAACCAAGAAGAATATCGACATATTCACCTTTAACAATGAATGAAGGAAAACTGCGTATTCTACGTTTAAATATAAGTAATATCATAATTGAAAGGAAGAGTCTTCAATTGCGTTGCCTGCTTTTAGCCACAAATAAGGACTCCACATATCTAAATGAAAATATGGACTGCTATTTTCTGGTTCGTTCATGCAGAATAAAAAAAAGAAGAAATTGACAAAGGTCGCTAGTTTATAGTATTCGTTTTCCGCATTTGAGTGACATAGCGTTTCTCTCGTTTTAGAACTTAGCTATTTGTCATATATACTCAATATATCTTGCTTTTACAATTATTTCAGGGTTACTGATTTATGAAAAACTAAAATCTGTCTACAAACGTGAGTCTTTTGAGTTCTTTGCTCATATGCATGTAAATAATTACCTAAAACAACTGAATTTTTATATAAATTACAATTATAAGTTGATCCGATATAATTTCTGTTGAGTCCAGTCTTGACAGAGGAATCTCAAAAATAATTGAGAAAAAGGAACTACGTAGACTGGACCTGAGATCGAGTAACCTCAGGTTCAATCCCTGTCTGCGTAGTACCTTTTTGTCGCTTTATCTTTATAACCACTAGGCCACGCGTCATTATGAAAAGTTTCATTTATAATCGTTAAAATATCTTTTACAGAAAATATCCGAATTTGAAAAAAACTAAAATTTACTTTTTCGATGAATCAAAAATTTTGAAACTTGAATTTCAATATTAATCAACAGCTTGCATTACAGAGCTGTATAAGAAAAGCCTTTTTTCAGTTTAAAAATAATTCAAAGTTATAGATCAAGATTTAAGAAAACTGAACAGAGTGCGCAAATCCAATTTTTCGAAATTAGGAGTTGATCAGGAGATTTTTTTCGAAATCAGAAGAACAACAGAAGAGCATCAGACAGTTTTTTTCTTGGCGCAAAATCTTCACTTCCACTAACGCTTGAGACTTTTTTCTATCAAGCAAATAAACCAAGATTTAAGACAATAGAAACTATTTAGTCCAACATCATCAAAACGAACGAGTTGTTGGAGAGGAAAGAAAATTCGATCTCTTAGTAGCGTTTCTTGGGCTAGGCAGAATTTCAGCGTGTTTTACCCGATTTTCTCCGCGGGAACACGAAGCAATTCATCTCAAGCTCAGTTTAAGATTAAGTTTAAAATAAGTACATAGGACAATCTTATTTACGCTTATCAATTCTCTCTTTCAATTACTGTGTACTTATTCTGAAGTTATCATTTAATTCAACTTAATCAAGTTTTTGTAACTTACACTTTTATACAGTTCACTGAAAAAGAAAAATATAGTTTTTCTTTCTGCTTCTGATGTGAACGTGTCTTTTGACTTATATATTTTGTGTACGTGTATATATACAACAATTATCCTTACGTACGAACAGAAACAGTTTCGTTCTTTGATACATTTCTTTCCTATAGAAGTCATTTTTTTTAACATTTCCCATTAGAACAGTCTTTCGAATCTTACAATAAAAGAATTTTTCGTTATAATGAAGATAAAGATTATACTCAATCTACTGTTCATACGTCATTTTTCCGCGAAATTAAATAATTCTATTGAAATTGTAAGATTCGCAAGACTTTTTTCTAATAAGAAACGTTAAAAAAACGACTTCTACAAATAAATCTGACAAACTACTCTATCAAAGATTGTAGAGTGAATGTTCTTAATTCACGAAAATTTAACGCCGGCACTTCACCTTTATTCTTGATAAATTTCTTCATAAACTATCAAGTGTTTTTATATTTCCCAGTAGAAGAAAGCACGATGAATTTAATGGCAAAAAAAGCGAATTAACTATCTCTAATGAACAAGTCATCCCGGTATATTGAATGGAAATATGCCCGTTGGAATTAGCAGTGTTCACTAATAGGGGCTTTACAATAGTCAAAAGTTAGTTAACTATAAAGCGAATAATAGCAGTTCTTGGATACAACCTTAAGCTATCACAGTTCCTTAATGATCGATTTCATCGTCTTTTTTCTAGAAAGTAATTTCTTCAGAAAGACAAAACATTCTAAAGTTATGCATTTCATTCCACTGCAAATTTTCAGATCGAAGAAAATGGTCCGAGATCTTTTTTTACTTGAAAATAAGTGAAAAAAATGAGTTTTTGCTAAAATTCGTTAAAGCAACAAAAATATGATGAAGAAGATTACTCGAAAGCTCGGAATTTTGTGAGTATAAAGAGTTTCATGTGCTCTATCAAATGAACTTTGAACGAAACTCTAATATTTTATCATACATATTTATTAGAACATTTCCTTAAAACATGTATATCTCCCCGAGCATACGTTTCCGCCTCCTAAAAGATTGAGATTCGGATAGAGCTCAAAATTCTGAGTATATACAAACATTTGAGCATATGTTTTGGCGAATGTGTTGTGCCGATCTGTGGATATTTGAAAGATTGAATAAATCTTGCATAAAACAAGCACCTGACATCACGTGGACACTCTCACCATATAGCAAAAGAAAAGAAAAAATTGTCTTTTTTACATATAGTTCAGAAAAGGTAAACATAAAAAACATGATTTTTTATTTACCATAGCCTTGTTATTCAAAATAAATTTTATATTCAGGATCTAGATGAAAATCTGAAACTAACTATATAAAACTCGATTAGTTTCTTACATTTTTTCTTGAATCTCTGAGCAAGAAACATACTTCTGCGACATCGTTTTTACTTCTTTCCCTTTTGTTTAGTATTCACCGATGGAAAAGTAAGATTCACTCATTTTCTTATCTGTGGCAAAATTTTTACCAATGCTGCTTTTAGCCACTGTTAGTGGCAGTTATTTGTGTCTAAAAGCAGACAACGCTTCGATTGTGAGGTGTAAACATCCAGGATCTTAGCACGTAAGCGGAAGATTTAATCTAGCCTGTTGAAAATGGAAGTCTATCATTTATAAGTTGAAACCTCAAAGTTTCATTTCGCTCAGAAAATTAACAAGTGTTTTAGGCAGTTTCCGCAAAACCAATCGGTTATGGCTAAATAGACATGAGAATATTTAGGAGAAATACAAAATAATTCCTTTACTTGGTATGGGCCTCGCGTATGAAACACCAGTTTAATGTATGTTTGACTTTGTTAGAAAAAAACAACTTTGTTCCTTTATCTTCCGTTGATTATTCATAAGATCATATCAACGGTTACCAAAGTACGTTTGTTTTTTCCTTTTCCTTTGATTTAGTGCGTCATTTTTACGTTTTAAATTGAAATAGGAACACTGTGTAAGAATGACAAACAGAAATAGAAAGGAAGTGAATGTTCGTTAAAGTATGTTGGCTCTTCATCATCATGGAAAAAAGGAAGGAGATAGTTGGTTTTTTCCTGATTTTGAAATTCATATCTAAGGAGACTGCTATATACGAATTACGCGCGCCTTAAAAGACAGTATGCGGCTGCCATCATTTCATTTTTAAACACTTTTAAGAAAAAGGCAAACAAAGTTAAAATTATCATTACGTCTGCAGAAAAGAAGGAAAGTAAGCAATTTTATATTGATTAACTGTAGAACAAGAGTTGAAAATAAGAAAGAGTATAGGATCTAAAAGTAAATAAAAATCGAATGATACAGATAGCATGCACCATACAAAATACTGAGTACCAATAAAAATGTGTTGATGTCTGTTCGACTATAACGTAAACCAATACCTAGGACACCGCTGCGATAACTTACTTGAACACTTCGGATTTCTTTATAATAGCCTTTCTACATATTCAAAACTTCACCTTGACATCAAAAAAGCACCTTGAACCAAATTTCGCTGTACCAACTTGAACCAATTTTCGCATACATGTGTTGAATTTATATTCATTTGATTTTCGAATGAATAAAGTGCGTTGAAATTTATACCGGCAATATTCAAAGAATAAAATGACGAAATCAGTGACAAAAGAAAAATCTATGCTGTCTCTTTTTTATACGTCAAATAAGAGTGATTTCTGAGTGATGAGCGCAGGAAAAATCAAGGAATTAAACGAGGTGCGAACAGCGCAGCATTTCTCTAGTTATGCAGATAGGCTACGCGAAAAATTGACAAACACGTATTTAAAAAAGTCGAAAGTACCAGCCGCCGATACACAGTTAGTTATTAAAGATTCCCCAATCACACAGAACGCTATGGATGATGTTGGCGCAGGGTCCGTTAGTTCATCATTATCACAACTTAATTTAAATAAGAACGATGATGAAAAGAACTTCGAGACATTTGCATTGATATGGTGCGATTTAAACGCTACTAAGGCGGAAGATAAACTGCAGATACAGGTACAACTGAGAAAAGCGATGAATTATATTAAAACATTTGATAATGTTAAAAATTGTGAACACTGGTTACGATGTCGACAAGTCACCTCTAGTTGTGAGAAATTTATTTTAATCGTATCCGATAACTGTGGACATGAAATTATACCACAAGTCTATGAATTACCACAGTTGGTTGCAATTTACGTTTTTTGCATTAACAAGGAAAATAACGAAAACTGGAACGAAAGATATGAGAAAGTGAGTGACATAAAGAAATTGTAAAGTTGCTATTTTGAAAAATTGTTAGATCTTACGAGAATATTCGCGAAGAAACCAGACATGCGTCTGAAAGGGATAACATGAAACAAATCATTGTTTTAAAAGTATATTCATCGTATTCTACGTTATCAGAAACCTATATTCTAAAATTTTACTTTTAGAATTCCTTCACTTTTCAAGTTATGAATATTTTAAGTGAAGGATGTTAGAGGGTTTGAGCAAAATGACATATTTCAGTATTTTAAGTGTACGTACGATCACCAAAATCTGTTTTGTTCTTTTCAAGTAATATCTCATTTGAAAGAGCATCTAAAACTGAATAAAAGGTAGTTTCAATTTTTCGAAGTGAAAACTGAAAATTTTCGACTAAAATTAAAATTTATTCTGTTCGGTTTAAAGAACCTCAGAAATGAAGGGTGCCATGTTATAGATAGAATGTATGTCTACGAAATGAGCTAAAAAGCTTTGTTTCAAAACCTGTATCGCATGAAAACAATTTGAAAGTAAAATGACTAACTACGCCGATTTTTAAAGTTCGTTAAGGTTTTTCGACTCAATTTCTCAACTCAAAACTCAATTTTCAAGGGACAAGATATTCAGAATCAGCATCAAAAGCAGATCAGCGTAGTTAGCCATTTTACTTTCAAATTGTTTTCATGAGACCCAGGTTCTTTTATTCAGTTTTAGATGCTCTTTCAAATGAGACATTTCTCGAAAAGAACGAAAGGGATTTTGGTGATCGTACGTACACTTAAAATACTGAAATATGTCATTTTGCTCAAACCATCTAACATTCATCCTATCATTCATCGTCAGTAACCCTTTACCCCTGGTGTTAATCCAGCAGATCTGGCATTGAGTTTGTGCAAGTGAAAGAAACCTTTTAAAAGAAAATCAGATTTTTTCACTTTTTTGAAAATTAACCGTTTTCAGAGTCAAATACTTTAGCCAAGAAGTGATGAAAAAAAAATTTATTTTTTACGAATCTATAGCTTATTGAATTCTCTACACAATGTCCTTATAGCTTCTTGATCCGATGCTTCGTTACTCCACTACATCATTTCTACGAATGGATCGAAAATGGCCCAAAGGGTTAAAATATTCATAATTTGAAAAAAAAAGAAAGTGAAGGGATTCTAAAAGTAAAATTTTAGAATATGGGTTTCTTAAATAACATAGAATACGATAAACATGTTTTTAAAACAATGATTTTTTCATGTTACGAAAAACCGTTCTTCAACGGGTTGACTAATTCTCTCTTACATTATGCGCTTAGGTACAAGCTGTTTTAACAGATGCAAGTCAGTTGATATTGTTAATTAAATCTAATCAATATAAACTTGAAAAATTGGACGATGTGACATCTCTACCAATGTCAATTTATAATATTTCTTCCGCGAAAGAAAACTCGTCGACTGGTGTAAACGGGAATTTTTTATGGTTTCAGTTGTTCATTGAAGTGTTACTTCGTATACAACATAGTGCTGAAGATCGACAAGACTTAGTTGAACTTTGTAAAAAGACACACGTTGGTAATACAAGTCAAATACAATTAATTGACGAATTTGAACTTACGTATTCGCCATCAAATGCATTGTGGTGGTATACTAGAGAAAGTTGTTTGTATAAAATATTAAATAAAGCATTAAGATGTCAAGATATTGATACACTGATTGCATTTCGGTCGTTCATTACTGACTTATATCATCAATTACAACGTCTTCAGGGCATCAGCGATGGTCATTCACCATCGTCTATAACCCGTGCATATCGTGCACAATTAATGTCATCTGAAGAACTAGATCGAATAAGATCATCCATTGGAAGCTATATTTCAATGAATAGTTTTCTATCTTGTACACTTAGTCGAGAAATAGCACTATTTATAATCTCATCCACATCTATTCAGATAAGTAATATTTTGGAGGCCGTACTATTTGAAATCGAAATTGATCCATTATTAGAAGGTACAAAACCTCATGCTGATATTTCTTCGGAAAGTTATTTTCAAAATGAAAAGGAAGTGTTGTTTATGCTTGGATCGATCTTTAAAATTCATAGTATTACAGAAACAGACAATATTTGGACCGTAAAACTTTTACTGTCTAGTGAGAATGATCATCAATTAAATGAACTTTCCAATTATTTAAAAAATAAAATTGAAGATGAACCAGTTTTTCTTTCGCTTGGTAATATTTTATCTGATATGAATGAATGGCAAAAAGCATCAAAATATTATCAATACCAATTGCAGCAATTAAATGATAAAAATTCTTATTCAGCTGGACGTTGTTATAGAGGCCTGGGAAATATTGCTTATGAGACAGGAAATTATGATCTGGGTATTATATATGACGAAAAAGCATTAAAAATTTTTCTGTCATTATCGAATGTTGATAAAGCAATATCTATCTGTTATAATAATCTTGGCCTTGGATTCCAACATAAAAAAGACTATGAAAAAGCATTAGAATATTATAATAAATGTCTGGAAATTGATAAAAGAATTTGTGGACCTGAAAGCATTGAAGTAGCAATATCATATAATAATATTGGTTATCTGTACTATAATCAAGAGAAAATTGATAATGCTTTAGTGTTTTACAATCGTGCATTAGAAATTCGAGAAAAATATTTACCTTCAGATCATTATGCATTAGCTAGAACATATGTAAACATCGGTACTGTCTATCACAAACAGAAAGAATATGAAAAAGCATTATCGTGCTTTCAAAAAAGTTTAGATATATTTATTAAGTCGCGTAGAGAAATGCATATTGAAATGGCTGTTATATATTGTAATTTTGGTATTACTTATGAGGCTACTTCAAAACTTGAGTTGGCGTTAGATTACCTTTTAAAAGCTGATCAAATATACCGGTATTCGTTGCCCTCAACACATCCAAATGTTATCGAAAATCAAGAACATTTAGAAACTGTTAATCAAAAATTAAAGTGTAAGTTCTGAATTCTGATATCCACATTATAAAATTTAAATGGCCACCTTTTGATTCCGGAAAATAAATCAAGCAGTTGGAGGAAAAGTAGTAGTGGTTGATTGAACTGTTGAAGAACTCTTTTAGATAGATAACGAGGGATGGCAAAAGTATCCACAGGAGCTCTGCGCTCGTTGAAACGACGGATCGCCTGTCGATATGTTTTTCTGATGTAAGATCACAATCCACGTTGTAGCCGATATGCGACTGAAGTTCTCTAGGAATAGGATCTTTCCGGGGAAAATAGCTACGAATCGTAAGAGCAAGACGTGGTATAGGTTGTAAATGAAGTTGTGGACGAACGTTTTTGGCAATATTAATTAACTGTTTACCTAGAACAGTAGTATGTGGCAGTGTTGTCAAAACTTTAAAAGAAAAAGACGATGTAACGGGTGGGCCATAAAGAATGGACCTCTCAGTATGTTGCTTATAACTTGGTTTGAATTTGTTTCCGAGACTAGATGTCTTTTTTAAAAGATGCGCTGCGAAATTCTCTACAAGATCATACCTAAACTATAATTTCAGAACTTCAACCAAGAAAACTAAGCCAATTGGATGAAAGTCGGAAAAAAAGTAAACTTCTTAAACCTAAAAATGATTTCTTGTGTTAATGTTTTGGAAGTAAGAAAAACTGAATTAGCCATTTTGTAGCCCTGACTTCGCTCTATCTTTTAGCTACACTACACATTTTTTCACATCAAAAGCCATAGCGAAATAGTAGTTTTTCTATCGGTTGTCATGCATTTTTTCATTAATTTTTTAGATTTTTGGTATAGTAGTGCTTTCAGTAAAAGCTCCATAACTCCATCAAAATAAAAGCTTTTTCGGTCCGGTTTGCTTTGTTTTGATCAGAAATGATTGCTCGTCTCTATCTAACTGCAAAATCAAACGTCAAGCATCTTTTCCGTCTCCTGATTGAGCACATTGTTGGAAACAGGGAAGTTGTCAACTTTTGATGTATTTTTGTTACCTCGTTCTGGAGCACACCATCTGCTCTAAAAAAGTTCT